CAGGACGAGCAGAGCACCCTGCAGCTGCTCAAGAAGCACCTGCAGCTGGAGCAGGGCGTGGAGAACTACGAGGACAGCATCGCGCAGCTGTCGCGCCAGTGCCGGGCGCTGCTGGAGTTGGGGCACCCGGACAGGTGGGCAGGCGGGAGCCCTCCCTGAGGTCGGGAGTAGGAGTCACATCTGGGAGGCCTGGACCAGGGTGAGGTCGGAGAGGGGGCACAGGGCTAGACCTCCGTCCACACAAAGCTGGAGGTGAGGAGGACTGGCTGCGGACTCAAGTAGGCAGTCAGGAGCCCCATCCAAGTCCCTGGAGGGCAGAGGCCCGGGCCGCAGACAGAAAGGCTGTGGGGAGGGTGGGAGCTTATGGAGCGTAAGGAAGCAAGGCAGTCAGGAGCCCCATCCAAGTCCCTGGAGGGCAGGGGCCCGGGCCGCAGACAGAAAGGCTGTGGGGAGGGGTGGGAGCTTATGGAGCGTAAGGAAGCCGTTTTCCCCGGGTGCTGAGATGCTAGTACTGGGTTGACGACTCCAACACTTGCAGAAAACAGAGTCCTGTATGGAGGAGTCCCAGGGAGCACTGCCCGACTTGAAGGTTAAGAGGAGACAGCCACGCCCTGAGAGGGTGGCAGGGGGCCTCAGCTCTGTCCTTTCAGCCTCAGGGGCTCCGTCTCTGCCCCGCCCTGTCCCCCACCAGTGAGCAGATCAGCCGGCGGCAGTCTCAGGTGGACCGCTTGTACGTGGCGCTCAAGGAGCTGGGCGAGGAGCGCAGGGTGGGCCTGGAGCAGCAGTACTGGCTGTACCAGCTCAGCCGCCAGGTGGACGAGCTCGAGCACTGGATCGCCGAGAAGGAGGTGGTGGCTGGCTCGCCTGAGCTGGGCCAGGACTTTGAGCATGTCACGGTTAGTAACAACAAGAATACCAGAGGCTACTGTGTGTGCTACTGAGGTCCTCTGGGCCTCCGTTTCTCCATCTGTAATACGAGGATAGTAATAGCACTTACTCGTGGCTCTGCTGTAAGCCAAATGAATTAATATGCAGTAGTCCCCCTCATCCACGGGGAGTACGTTCCAGGAGCCCAGTGGATGCCTGAAACCACGGATAGCACCAACCCCTATATATACTATGTTTTTTCTATACATACGTACTTTTTTACTTAAGGAAGCATTGGGCGGCTTCTCTTTGGCGTCTCCAAATTGCCAGCAATACAACGCTTGAGCTTTGGGGCCATTGCTAAGTACACTAAGGCTTACCTGAACACAAGCATTGTGATAACGTGAGCGTCAAGCTCAGAACCTAGTGGCTACTGACTACAGGCGGGGAGTGTACAAGGGCGGAGAGGCTGGACAAAGGGAAGATTCACGTCCCGGGCAGGACGGAACGAGATGGACTGAGATTGCATCATGCTACTCAGAATGGCGACAATTTAAAACTTATCAGTTGTTTATTCCTGGAGTTTTCTATTTAATATTTTTGGACCATAGTTGACTGCAGGTAACGGACACTTTGGAAAGTGAAACCCCAGATAAGGGGGATAGCTGTAACGTAAGGCACTTAGGACAGTACTTGGCACACACAATGCCTAACACAGTGAGTGTTATTATTATTTCACCTTATTATTTTTATTATTGTTGTTACTATTATTGCTACAAAGTGCTCCATAAGTGTTAGATGTTATGTTTTATTATGACTCTTATTATTATTATTACTGTTATGACTCTGACCTGCCATCAGATGGTGGGCTGGAGGGACCTGGTGTATACACCTGTGCCCATGTTGTGCCCCCCACTTCCTGGTGGCAGGTGCTGCAGGAGAAATTCTCAGAGTTCGCCAGCGAGACCGGCACAGCAGGGCGGGAGCGGCTGGCAGCCGTGAACCAGATGGTGGATGAACTGATCGAGTGTGGCCATACGGCAGCGGCCACCATGGCTGAGTGGAAGGATGGGCTGAATGAGGCCTGGGCTGAGCTGCTGGAGCTAATGGGCACGCGGGCCCAGCTGCTGGCCGCCTCTCGGGAGCTGCACAAGTTCTTCAGCGACGCCAGGGAGCTTCAGGGGCAGATTGAGGAGAAGCGGAGGCGACTGCCCCACCTGACCACCCCGCCTGAGCCCAGACCCAGTGCCAGCTCCATGCAGCGGACTCTGCGAGCCTTTGAGCATGACCTGCAGCTCCTCGTATCCCAGGTGGGGTGACGGCGGCCAGGAGGGGACGTGGGAGGGCCTGGGCAGCATGGCCAAGGGATGTGGGCCACACAGCAGGCAAAAATCAGGCTGTAGAGCATTTCAGAATTAGATGGTGGAGCAGATAGTACAGAACAGGCAGACATTAGATGGTGGGCAGGTAGGGAACGGCGCCCAGAAATCAGACAGTGGCAGAAAAGAGTGGTGCAGTGTGTCTGATTAGACAGTATTTCCAATGCAGGTTGGGCAGGGATTCTCCTCCACACTGTGAAGTGAATCTTACCCAAATTCAGATCGTCTAAAGGGGATTGCGGAAGGGTTAAGAGAAATTTGGCTGTGGGCAGATGGGAAGTAGACAGCAGGTCTCTGATAGAAATCATATGATTTTCCTTAAAAATTTTTGATGGGGTGTAGTTAATGGAAATTGCACAGGAGCTAATAGAAATCAGGCAGTGGGTCTGACAGGAACTGGGAGATGGAGCTGAGAAATCATATGGAAATGAAACTGTGGGCCTAATAGAATTCAGACAGCAGAACGGAAGGAAACAGGGTTGCAGGCATAATGGAAGGCAGAAATCGGACAGTTATTTGTACATAAATATGTAGATGACTTTTAGAAATCAGGCAGAGAGATTGATAGTGATTAAGTGGTGGATCTGATAGAAATGTGGTGATCGCTCTAAGGTTGAATCAACAGACAGTGAGTCCAATAGAACTCACACAGTAGAACCAGTAGAAACTGGGCAGGAGACCTGATAGTAATCAAATAGCCATGCTGAAGGAATTTGGGCAGCAGCAGGTAGGTAATGAGTCTGAAAAAAATTGAGTGAAAACAATGGACAGCATGTCTCATAAACATTGAGAGGGAAAGAAATTTCCTGAAAGAAATCAGATCAGCCTGAACCATGACAGAGGTGGGCCTGAGAAATGTCTACAGACCCACTAGACACAGAGCCTCAGACCAAAAGAAAGCAGAGAGTGAACTGAAAGAAATCTGGTGGTAGGTCTAAAAGAAGTCAGAACCCAGGTAAGTCAAAAAGAAAGCAACAGATAAGGGAAACCCAGTTGTGCTATCACCAGGGTGCGAGCTTCTTACATTGTTAAGCTCTGTACCCATCCAGCAGAAGGGGGAAAGAGAGGGCGGAGCCTGGACCCCATGGAGGGATGGTGCTCTGGACTCCGTGGAGGGCTGGTGCTCGACCTGGCGTGCCCCTCAGGTACGGCAGCTGCAGGAGGGGGCCGCACAGCTGCGGACGGTGTATGCAGGTGAGCACGCGGAGGCCATCGCCAGCCGGGAGCAGGAGGTGATGCAGGGCTGGAAGGAGCTGCTAGCAGCCTGCGAGGACGCCCGCCTGCACGTCAGCTCCACAGCCGATGCCCTGCGATTCCACAGCCAGGCCCGGGACCTGCTCTCGTGGATGGATGGCATCTCCGGACAGATTGGGGCAGCTGACAAGCCCAGGTGCTCCTCATCCCACCTCAGGCTTCCTACCTGCCTCTGGGCAGCCACCCCCAGCCCATCAGCGGTCCTGTTCCCGTAAGAATCACAATAGCCAATACCTGCAAGGCACCTCTGTGTGCCAGGCACTGTTATAAATGCTTTATGTGTATTAAGACCCCTTGTTAGGCCTAATATTGGGGACTCAGAGCACAGGGCATCTTCGTGCCTTCTCTCCTTCCCAGGGTGTCATGGCATGGGACTGGCTGCAACCATGATAGGGACAGGGAGGTGTGGACTGTATGTGTAGCTTAACCTGGTAGACATTAACTTGTTGCTTACATAACGGTTCATGTGGGTGTCCGGCAGAAGCCTGAACCAAGTGATTGGGAGCTAGGTCCTTCCATCACTCTGCCCTGCGAGCCATTTCCTGGACCCTCTGGGTCCAGCTGCAGATGAGGAAAACAGGATCACATGGGAGGTTTTAGGAACTAAGCCTGCACTCACATAGCATTGTTTCTGTGACTGTGAGGCCTTGAGTCTACATTCGTTTACTCAGCAAATATTTATTGAATGACTACTGTGTGCCAGATAGTGAGCAAGACCAAGCCCCTGCCCTAATGGGGCTTATATTCTGAGGGTGGAGACAGGCAACAGATAAGTAAACAAACATGTAATATTATTTTAGACTAGAGGCCCGGTGCACGGATTCGTGCACCACTGGGGTCCCTCGGCCTGGCCTGCAGGGATCAGGCCAACACCGGCTCTCCTACATCCCCCGTGGGGTCCTGGATTGCGAGAGGGTGCAGGTCAGGCCAAGGGACCCCACCAGTGCACTATCGTGGCTGGGGAGGGACTGTGGGAGGGCTCCAGGGTGTGTCCAGCCTGTCTCGCCCAGTCCTGATCGGCCAGACACCAGCAGCAAGCTAACCTACGGGTCTGAGCGTCTGCCCCCTGGTGGTCAGTGCACATCATAGCAACTGGTCGAATGGTCGAACGAATGGTCAGACACTTAGCATATTAGGCTTTTATTATATAGGATAGTGATAAGTGCTCTGAAGAAAAATAAAGCAAGGTAAGGGGATGAGGTGGTAGCTGGCAAGGCTTTTCTGAGGATGTCAGGTTTGAGACCTGAATAAAGTGATGATGAGTTGGGTAAGTTTGGAGAGAAGGGTTTCCAAGTGCAAAGGCCCTGATGAGGTAGGTTGTGGCCAGGCATGTTTGAGGAAGAGCTAGACAATCATTGTGGCTGGATGGTGAGAGTGAGGGGGAGCGTGGAATGGATAGGAAATGAGGTTTGAGGGACAATAGGGTCTGGTGAGGCGTTTGTCTTTTCTCGGAGTGAGATGGGAGCCATGGAAGGGACTAGAGCAGGGCAGTGATGTGATATGATGTACATCTGAGAAAGAACACTCTCGATGCCTCATGAGAAATAGTGTGGAAAGCAAGGATGGAAGCAGGTAGACCAGTTAAGAGGCTGCTGTGATAAACCAGTGAGAGATGATGGTGTCTTGATCCAGTGTGGTCGTTGTAGAGGTGGGGAGAAGTGATTGGTTTCAGGAATTTACAAAGTCTCTTTATTATGAAAAATTTCAAATATATACAGAAGTAGCTATAACAGATAATGTGTGTGTAACGAACACCTGGCTTTAACAACTATCAACATTTGGCCAATCTTGTTTCATCTCTGTACTCCCTCCCCCACCCCTTGCTGAGTTATTTTAAAACGAATCTCAGGTGTCATATCATTTGAGTCAGCTTCAGGGGTGGAAGGAAAAGGAGTCACGGGTGAATGATGGGTGAGTTTACAGAGTTGGAGAATTTCAGAGGAGAATCAGATCATTCTCGATGGTCTAAGTCTCAGGTAGAAATCATTACAATGTGAAACCTTCACAAATAAGTTTGGGCATTTTAAGTCTTATAAAGCTATACTTGCTGACTGGTGGAACATTCAGAAATGTGGAATTTGTTTTGGACACATGACAGCAGAGAACAGCACTGTCCTGGAGTCATACAACGCAAGCCACAGATGTGAACCACACACGTAATTTAAGATTTTCTTGTAACCACATTGAAAAAGTAAAAAGAAGCAAGTGAAATGAACTTTAGTAATTCATTTTATTTCACCTGGTAAACCCAAAACACTATACTTTCATCATGTAGTCAGTCAAAATTATTGAGATATTTGATGCTTTTTTATAGTAAATAAAATATGGTGTGTACTTTTACTTCAACACATCTCAGTTCAGACCAGCCACACTGCCAGTGCTTATCTGCCACCATGGCCAGTGGCCAGTGTGTTGAACAGCACAGACTTGGAAGGTTAGAATCACTGGCTGGAGGAACCTTCAGAAGCATAGCTTTAGAAAATTGGAAAATGTTGGCTATTGAAAGCCTAACTTAGAATCACAACAGTGTGACATTGTAGCAGCCTGGGAAAAGTTGGAATCATTGAACCAGGGGAGAACCTTGGACTTGTTCATAGGAGGTGGGAGTCTGGAGATGGTGTGGAACTGTGGCCTCAGGGTTTGGACTCCACTAGAGCTGTGTATATGGGGTGGGGGTGGGGGGCTGTCTGTGCTCAGACCCCTGCCACTGCCTGCTGTAGGGATGTGTCGTCCGTGGAGGTGCTCATGAACTACCACCAGGGCCTGAAGACCGAGCTGGAGGCGCGGGTGCCGGAGCTGACGGCCTGCCAGGAGCTGGGGCGCTCTCTGCTGCTCAACAAGAGTGCCATGGCTGATGAGGTGGGGAGGGGCGCAGGGGGTTCCCCTCTGCTATCTGTGTCCACTGGGGTGGGAGCCACCCTGATGCCTCTCCCACCTACCCACCACTCCCAGATCCAGGCACAGCTGGACAAGCTGGGAGCCAGGAAGGAGGAAGTGTCGGACAAGTGGGACCGTCACTGGGAGTGGCTGCAGCAGAGTGAGTGGGGGCCCAGACGCACATGGCTCCAGGGCACAGGGACCTTCTCCAGTGTGTTTAGAAAGGCCCAGAGGGTGACACAGGCCTGCTTTGCACACCATTCACAGCTCCCCGGTAGCAAACATGAAGGCCTGGCAGGGTGGACACAGGGGCTGTCTTGCCATTGAAGCTCTCTGGTGGCAGATATTTAGAGGAGAAGCTGGTGCCCTCAGAAGTAGCCCAGCCTCATTCCTGCAGAGCTCAGAGAGGTGCAGGCTGGCATAGAGGAAGCCCGGGGGGTGCGGAAGGGCAGAGAAGACAGCCACTGCCCCGTGAAGGGCCCACAGGTGCCTCCAGCACCCTAACCCCACGTCTCCCCTCAGTGCTGGAGGTGCACCAATTTGCCCAGGAGGCGGTGGTGGCAGATGCGTGGCTGACAGCCCAAGAGCCACTCCTGCAGAGCCGGGAGCTGGGCAGCAGTGTGGACGAAGTGGAGCAGCTCATCCGGCGACACGAGGCCTTTCGCAAAGCAGCGGCAGCCTGGGAAGAAAGGTTCAGCTCTCTGAGGCGCCTGACCACGGTCAGCACCCAGATCCTGCCCAGCCCCACCCCACCCCACCCCCCTATAAGAGACGGGCACCCTGGTTCTCCGTGCTCAGAGCTCTGTCAAGTGAGGCCCAGGCAGACCCTCACTGGCTCCCAGTCTTGAGGGGCGGGGCCGTAAGAGAGAAACCTGTCACCAGGCAGAGACAGTCCAGACTGGGATGGGGGAGCACAGAGGCCTGGGAACTAGAGCACGTGGCCTGGCCTGGGGGAGTCTGATCTGCGACTGAAGAATGAGGAGGAGAGACCATTGTAGTCAAAAGTCTTAAGGTCCTGGGAGGGGACCATTAGGAAAGAGCCAATGGGGGTCAGAGAGGCACCCAGAGAAAGAGAAAGTGTGGTTTAGCTGATTCTGAAAAGAATACTAGGTGTTTGCTGGAGAAAAGTGGGAATTAAGTTCCTAGCAGAGAGCAAAGCATGGGTGCAGGCCTGGGCCAGGCTGCCTTTTCACCAATAAAAACTAATGAACTGGGTGATGAGGCAGACAGAACCATCCCCCCCCCCCCCCCCACACACACACCCACCCGCCCTCCACCTGACCCTGACCCCTCCACCCCCAGATCGAGAAACTCAAGGCTGAACAGAGCAAGCAACCGCCCACCCCTCTGCTGGGGCGCAAGTTCTTTGGGGACCCCACGGAACTGGCAGCTAAGGCGGCACCCCTGCTGCGACCAGGGGGCTACGAGAGGGGCTTGGAGCCCCTAGCCCGCCGGGCCTCGGACACGCTGTCTGCTGAGGTGCGGACCCGGGTGGGGGG